TTCTGATTATTCGTTTATTTATTATTTGATTCATTGTAGCAGATATATTCTGAGGGAAAACAAATGTTTCTAATGTACCCCTCACTACTAACTACTGCATCTGAAACAGAATAATTTCCTGGAAAAAAAAACATGAACATATGATTGCTGCATGTTGAAGTCACTCTTTTGGAATTTGCACAGCAGTTGCAGAATAAAAAAGCCATCTTAAGATCCACACTGCCCATTCGAGCACTGCAAGTAACCGTGCAATTCTGTTTGGGATCAATAATGAGGTTTCGTTTTTCTTAAGATGCAGTAGCGGAGAGTGTGATAGAGCAGGTGACTGTGGCCTGACATGAGATGATGGTGCTGCCTCCTCCTTGCATGTTTCAGCATGGCACTAGTGCTTGTTCTGGGGCTCTCTGTACCGTGGTCCCAGGAGAGTTAAGAGCTCTATAAATACTTCTTCCCAGAAGAGACTTTTTTCCAGGGCCTTAGCAAATGACTGGTAGATAATTTGTACTGCTTGACCTTGATTTCTACACACGTGTTTCCAGTTTAGTGAAGGTCCGACCTACTCATTCTGTGGAATTGTCATACCCTTTTAAGTTTTGTTTCCTGGAAGCTGAAATTATTTTTTATAAGAATGCCAAATTCCGAGATTTCCAAGAGGTGGTAGAGTTTCATAATTGTGTTGGTTAACGGCTAACACGGTTTCTGTAGTGTTTTATAAATCCCAAAATACACCATTAAACAATGAGAAAGTGCTGAAAACCGGTTCCTCTGACCGCTAGTACGCTGACTTTGTGTTTTTTGTACTGAAAGCGAAGTGTAGAGTGTACATTCTGATTCAGTTTTGCAGTCTGGACTTCATAGGAAGGCTTGTTCCTTTTCTAATTTCTTTCAAGAAGGAAGAAGTTTATGGCTGAATGAGATCTTTCAATCCAATCACTTCAAATTATCAAATTTCTTATCCTTTTATGTAGCATCCCAAAATCAGAAGCACTTTGGTCTGATCACTTCCCAAAAGATTCACAGATCTGTGATCTGACGAATGTGATGTCTTGCCCTTGTCTTTTTTTTTTTGCCTGGACGTCAGAGGAGTGTTGGAGCAGAGAAACTTGAGCTGAAGTGATCTATTAGTGAATGGTGGAACACATCAGTGGCATAACTTACCGTATACTTCACGTCAGCCCTCTAACATACTGTAAAACATGCCAGTTTTTCCCTTTGTCTCTATCATTTATCTTTTAATACTAAAGGGCTATGTGTAACCGAGCAGGATGGAGTATAATTCACTTCCCATCTCAAGCTAATGTATAGGTCTCATGGTCTAGCCAGACTAAATTACACCGGGGAGGACCACAGTTATGCTCCTGATTATTGAGCGCATATGGAGAACAAAGTACCTTACAATAACACTGGGGAGGAAGCTGTTATTTTCCCACACTTTTGCAATGAAAATAAGATTCATAATCTTTGTTATTACCTGAGCAGTTCTGAAAATTGGTACTACTCTGCAATGTAGAACATTATTGTTAACATTGGTATTAAGTGTGATATCTGTACTAGAAGTTGTAGTTTTGGTGTTCAGGACACAGCTTTGATTCTGTATTCCTGAAATCATCAATTCGTTTCTACACTACTCATTAGTTGAGTGCCTCCATTTTTTGGTCAAGTAGTATATTCCACCTCCCTCGTTGTCTTGTGGGTTTCGCAGTCGAGTCGGAAGAAATCCACGAGGTAACAAGAGCTACAATATATTTGAGGTTGGAATCAACTATCATAAGGCTGAAACATATATCACATTTTTTATCAGAGCCCAATACATTTCTGCTTTATAATATGCAGAGCGGAAAGATATGGAAAAGCAATAAGCAGAGTGTAGTATTCCATAAGTAAAATGCTAAGCAATGTAAATGTATTGTATACAGTGCATAAAAGGGAGTAATGCACTATTTGGAACAATTCTGTCTACAGTTCAAGCCTGTCGGGGCTTGGCAATGCCACTCTGATTTCAGAAAACATCAGGAGGATGCTCAGGTGCCAGACACCTGGAGCCCAGGTGCTTTTTTGATTTGACTTCCAAGCACATGTGGCAGGTTAGCCTGTCAAATTCACTCCCTCTAGTGGCATATTTTAGTGAGTGGTGTTTTTCAAGAATGTGTGGATGAAGTCGACATCAGTGATTGTCATCCATGGTTCTGAAGGGTCCTTGTGTCTTCTGATCTATGTTCCAACTAAACTCTCAATCTGTGTGTTACCCTTAGATTGAAATTTCTACTTGATTATATCTTTTCAGTATATTTCTGCACTTATCCTTCTTGGTTTCAGAAATGCTCTGTTGTGTTTGTGTGTTCCTGCAGAGAAATTCGCACACAGAGCTCTCCCCATTCACTCCTGAGCTTGCTTATTAAGTCGTTTGTGTAAACTGCTCTCAGTAGGAGACAAATTAAAGATGTCAAAACACAGATTAGAAAAGATGCATCAAACCCATCATAAAAAAAACAAGTATTCCATTCCACACACCTGGACGAGAGCTGGTACAGTTTATATCCCATAATTGTTTCAGGGTTGATACTGATTAATAACCACATGCAAACTCATAAACTGAAAAACATCTTAATTAGCTACAGATCAGTTAGTCTAAATTATTAAAAAATCAGTGGCCTTTCACTGAAAAGGGTAGCCTTTTCATTTTCTCTCAAACAATAGCTTTGTTCGTTTTCTGTAAATTGTAACCAGATAGTGTGGGGATTTATCTTGGCTCTGGTGGGAAAGATTGTTTCTTATGGCCTCATGTTTGTTATAGAACAACTGCTACAATGACATGACGTATGAAAAGCAACCGATATCATGTTGACTACAGAAAAGTACAGTATATTTGCTTTGTATCTTACAAATAATGGAAACTAAGCTCATTTTGAATGTTGCCCGTGCCTTTAATTACAAGCGAAAAGGGTGTCTGCACATATTTCTGATTTTTATTTTGAAGAATGAAAATTTCAGGAACATCTATATAAGGGAATATATGAGCCATGTATACAGATTTTATTGTATATGTAGCCATTAAACAGGCAATTTCTGAAGACCTGCAACAATTAAACTGATAAGTTGAACTGGTAATTAACGTCTGGGGAAAATTCACCCTGATTTGAGAGCGTGTTTGTGTCTGCCCTACAATGGATTGGCATCCCATCTAGGGTATACTCTTATCTTGTGCCTGTTGCTTGTGGGATAGATTCAGGCTCCCTGGTGATCCTGTATTGGAAGAAGCGTTTAGAACATGAATGGGTGGATTGTTGGGGTAATTTGGGGCAAAACTCTAAAGACCGATTAGCCTTCAAGAACCAGAATTCCCTTAACTTTAAGTAAATTAGCTTCTCGCTAATGCATCAATAGTTAAAACGTGTTCCTAGTCTTTTAAAAACAAGTGATTCAAAATGACCTGTAAGACAAAGTGGAGGGTCACTCTCCTGAACCAGAGCTGGAATCCCAGGGTCTATACATTACCTTCGAGTGTTCCGTGTTTTCTGGGTTTATTTTATAAAATACAAGAAGCACTTATTGTGTCTTCCCTTGATCCCAGTGTAGTAAAACATATTTCCCTCTAAAGTTTGGAGGCTTTTTGTCATTATTAGCAATAATTATGTAAAACATTGTAGTGTTAAACTATTCCTGGGCAGGAAATAGCCGAGTAACATAGAACATCATTTTTTGTTCTCTGACAGAACAGTAACAGTCATGCCAAAACTTAAACTATACAAATTATTAGCTTACAAAACTATCCAACATATGCCATATACAGGTATGCACAACATAATCTAACCACACCAGAAATAAAACCTTAAGTGACCCAAAAAAAAAAGTCTTAATAATGTCTTTCTCGGTATTTACTCCACAGGAGTAAGTCTGCCTCTAAAACGCGAATGCCCTATTCTCCCTATTCTATCAATACATTGCTAAAATAGGAGAGACGTTTTTAGCTTGAGGATTTCACAATAAATGAAATCACAACTTCCTAAACTAAATTAGACTGCAAGGTCTCTTGTAATAATGCTCATATTAGTTTATACAGAATCTGATTCCCAGTCTGATTAGAAAAATGATCTCTCCAGTCATAGCTTTGGAGATGATGAATGATGTTGATGAGTGAGCCCTTTTTTCTTTTCAGTATTCAGAAGAAGAGAGTAATAGACATTGCTCCTATGGAGTCCTGGTTTAGTGACCTCACTAGGAACAGATGTCACTGTTGATGATTCAAAGTGAAGCTAACCTGTGGAAATTATCAGGAATACCCTTTGATCATCTGTGTCCTCTGTGTTTACTTGCTTACCAGCCCAGGTACATAAATACTAACAATATCCCTTGTGCCTTCTGAGTAAGACAATCAACCTTTGAAGAGTAAACTTTCCTTGCCTTACTGAAGCGTAACGCTATTTTCAGTCAGGCCACAAAACAGACTTTTGTTAGCAAAACCATCCCGAATACCACATGTAGTGCTGCAGACGTGACAAAAGGCTAATGGGGAAAAAGGGTAACTTCTTTCTTGCAATTGCAAATTGTCCTGTCTGGTCCTCAACCCACACTGTGCATCCCAACAGTCAAGTATAGTGGTTTCAGCATTGTGCTGTAGGGATATTTCTTCCCATCAGGGGCTGGAAAAATGGAACAAATTATGGGCAAATGCTAGAGGAATACCTGTTTCTGTGTGCTTTAAACTTAAGATTCACCTTTACGCAGAACAATGAAATTGTGCAACATTTGTTTTGTAGAATTTTAAAGGCTTATTTTTGCCAAAAATTTGCAAGCATGAAAAAGCATCTTTGTAATTTTTTTTCTTAACTGATGAAGTCATGGCTGTTATTTCAAGAGGGTGATGACGATTGTAAGGTTTGATTTGTCCATGTGAGATTTTATGCTTTGCTATGTTGAAATGTAAATGTGCAGTAGATAAAATAATTATTTCCCCATTGCAAAGTTATCAATGTGTGGTATGTTTTTCTGTTTAATTTCAGATCTTGTCCTTAAAGTAGCCAAGGACAACTTTGAATCAATCCAATCAGAGTACCAGAAGGTAATTGTGTGTGCTTGTCTGTGTGGATGATGACAGGGGAAATTAATTGTTACTAATTGTGAAGAATTGTAGAAAATTACACTTGAAGGATTATCTAAACTAATTGAAGCAGCAGCTGTCACTTCTATAGACCAGTAAATTAATAGATATTTGTTATATGGTGAGATTTGCAGTATTGTGAAAAATGAATAATAGAGATTTTTACCACAGGCAAAATGTCTTTCTTCGTAATTGTTTTCAAGCTAACAAATGTAAGTAATTTCCTGGACAGACTTTAGCACTTCAGTTTTGAATTTTGAGCATTGGTGGTTTATTCTTAGAAGTAGTATTTTATTATTATTAATCAGTTGTCTTTGATGCTTTAAATCTGAGTCATCTGTTCTTGCAAAATTGAGACCATGTCTACCAGTAGACTCATGCACCTGACAGAGAAATTATGATTTTGAATGTCTGTTTCTGCACGGTAAGGGTTATCCATTGTGGGTGTATGTTTCTCGGCAATCCATTCAATTTTGTTTCATGATTTGTGTTAATTTACCCTTGAAACTCTCTCATTCACTCATTCCCACGACTTTGTTTTCTGCATGCTGCTCCGTCATTACATGTTCTGTCCATCTGCTCTGGTGCATCAGCCAGAAAACGTTGTTCTGACACTCCAGGTAAACTCCCACGCCACCCCTGCTCCTACCCTCCTGGCCCCTCGCATGCAGCTGCTTAATCTCTCTGAGCACATCTTTGTAGCCATTCAGCTCTACACTGGGGAACTGTCTTAATAATAAAAAGTGTGAAATGGGAAGTAAAATATTTTTTTTTACTTAACTTTCCCATGGACAAATGGCACAGACTACAGGCAACTAAAGAGGCGCTTGGTATACTCAAGCTCAAATCACCTAGGTAGTATTTTGCCTCAGCCAATAAGATCAAACAAATATTTTGCGGGAGAAGACATTAATACTGGGCATAAAAAAAAAACTTTTAAGACACAATCCCCACCAGTGAGCAGAAATATTAGTACTGTACATGACTTGCAGAAGCATGCTTATGGAACACCTGCCTTGTAACAGAATTGCTGTAAGCATGAAATGAGACAATCTCGAGAGTACAGTTCAGGTGTTTTACAGCTGCACTTTTATTTTCCTCAAGCCACCTGCAGGGGGCCTGTATTCAGAATTACCTAGTGCATCTTCTTAAGAAGTTAATTGCAGACAATCCAGTTAAATAAAACCATTTTCATTTTCAACAATCTTTATCCACATTTTTTTGAACAGCTGAAGGATGGCAGCACTAGCTACAGTATACCCTAACCTTTTGCCTTTTTAACTCTCTTACACACACTGGGTATATCTGCATATAGATATGCATATCTGAAGTGAAATTGACCAATCTTTTTGTGCTTATCAAAGCTTTTTATCAGAAAAATAAGTAACAGCTATAATCAAAATTTGAAGTGAGACTTATGGTAAGCACTTTTGCAAGGAGTCTCAGATTCTTTGCACTACAAAGAAATCTATAAAAGATAGAATGCTTCTGTGACCTTTTTAAGAAGAGAAACACTATACCAACCAAAAACCAGTTCAGCAGGTTTTAAGCTCTGGCCTCTGAAGTCATGCATGGTGCAGTACAGTATTCTGGGTCTAGGGCAGTGGGTTTCTGCCTTTCTGTTGGCATGGAAAACGTACCTTCAGCATGCTTTAGCATTAGTTGGTAATGCTAAAGATCTGCATTAGTTGACTTATCATACTGCAGAGATTTTCAACAAAGAGTTCTGGGTGCCTCTCTTGTTTAGCTGAACAAGTAAAGGAGCCTACACTGAACACCACTTGAGCTCAGTGTGATAGACATCCTGGGTTTTAGCCTGAGTCACCCGCTGACTGAAACAATTCCCTGAGCAACAGCACACACTTGGCTGAGGGCTGTCAGAGATGTCAAAACATCATGTGGCTGGGTTAAGCGCTCTCATCGTTGAGGGGATGACCCTACAGATTCCTAGGCTACCAGTTTAGCTTGCAGTCAGCGCCAGCTCTCCTGTACAGCACTGTGGCACTTGCAGTGTGCTCAAAAACTAACACTGCCGGTCTCTCCAGACTCTCTGTACAGCATGGCTGCATTGCTCAGAGGTAAAGAAACCATCATCAGGTCCACATTGGGTGGGTTGAAAATTAAGAATTCAAAACTGAGTTCTGTTTCAGCATATAATTAGGGGCTTATAAAAGGTCTTGCTGTGTGATTAATGTAGATGAGCATTTCATTTTTAATTTCATTTGTTATGCTCGTACTTTACCACCCTAACCACCTCATCCCTAGAAAAAGGCTGCTTTCACTAGATCATAGATAGCTTAATTCTGGTTGAAGATTTATATTATATTGATCTAATAACACTAGTTAAATGCCCTTCAGTGTTATTTGATTTCATTGTTGATGGTAATGTAGTATTTGAAAGAGATTTTAGTTTTAGTTTAGAATTAGTTTGGCTTTCAGGGTAGGATAAAACATTCTGTGCAAGACAATATAAGAATAGGCAAACTTTGTAGGTTTTCCTTAATTCATGCAAGAACAATATTTTTTGTGCTTTGCGCTGTTGATGTAGTGCATAGCATATCCTTATAGAACTATGGGCTGCAGAACCCCTTAGAAAACTAGTTGGACTACTGTCCTGACATTTATTTTACAAATATTTATTTTGACAAATTGCAACTTTCAGAACCTAACAATCCTACATATAGACCTGCATCTTAGAGATGTTTGCAGGCTGTGTGCATTGCTATCTCCTGGAGTATCCCAGGCTCAGGAGCTAATCCAAGATATTGTTGGCCTTTTAATTGCCAAAAAAATAAAAATCTTAATGTTCTCAAGCTCTCTCTTTTGATTACAGGCCATCTACTATGAAATCGGTTTCATTGTGTGTGCCTCTCTGGGAGTGCTGTTTGTTCTTTTGATGCCTCTCGTGGGGCTGTGCTTCTGCCTGTGTCGTTGCTGTGACAACTGCGGAGGGGAGATGCACCAGAGACAGAAGAAGAACGCGGACTGCCGGAGAGGCTGCTTCGCCACCCTCCTCTTGAGCACATCTCTCATCATCTCGTAAGTGAGCACTTCAGGCCCGCGCAGAGGCAAAGGGCTTTCCGTTTCTTGCTGCAGCAGTAAGGATCGCAAAGACAGTGGGACGCAGGCTGAGGTTTGCACACAGGTATCTGAACAACGTAAACAAGTTAAACAGTGACAGTTTTATCACCTCTGTAATGGATAGAATCTAACAGACTCCCCGATTATAGATTCTTACAAGGCTACAGCCTTCAGACCCTTTGAATGTCTGACCATGCAGAGATTTCCATGTTGAGAGTGAATTATTACTAGTTGTGGGCTTTAAAGCTGTTGTCCTTCAATTGGTGTTTTATGTAAAAAGAATTTGTTTTCATGCCTCTCAGTATCTTCTCACAAATGTGGTGTTTAATACCCTTTGCTTTACTGCTTGATTGAAAGGCTGTACTTGTAGACAGTCCTCAGGGTATCACAGCTGCAGGTATAAACACTGCCTTTCCCACAGAAACCTACTGTAGTAATAAGTCTCTTAAGAAGCTAGAGAGCCTGATACTGATTTTAATGACAGGCTTATACTGCACAGTGAAATATCTTCCACCAGTATGATAGCAGAGGGAGATGATGTTAAAAGGCAAGAGGTCAGTTCTCATTTCTTTTTGTCTTGTTACTGTAGAAAGGAGTTTATTCATGAGTTAGTGAGTGAAGAATAAATTGAACCCATACCATTTGATTTTCAGCAGTGTTTTAAGACAGTGAATCTTGGAAAGGAATGTTAAAATAACGGTGTTATAGGAAACTAAATGAAACATCTGTTCTCTTTAGTATGTAAAAGTATCCTATGGAGTTTACAAAGCATTTTACTTCATTTGTAAAAAGGAGAAGTCACCTTCTGTTACTATTTTAAAAGCACATTTTGGATTCAGCTGTGCTGGAGTGAATACTTTTTTGCTGCAAAAGCACATTATGTGAGTTTATCAGTAGTATATGTATTATGGCAATACAATATAGCTATATTGAATTTTGTTTTGGACCTCAGTTTGGTTTACATGTTCATGGCAAAAAAAAAGTTGTTCAAAGCTAAATCCCTCAAATACCAAGACTGCAAATACACTGAAATGTTGATTTTTATTCCAGAACTTTGTAACATGGCTTATATTAACTAATAATTAACTTGTAGATCAGTAATATGCTGCTTATTTGAACTAATCTGATCTGTTCATCTAGTGTAGGGGTCTCAGACCCTTCTAGAGCCTAGAGTCTTCTGGTTTTTGTTCCACCCACATTCCCAGTTACATAGTTGGTCTATGAAATAATTAGATTCTGAGGTAATGTATAGGTAACTGTACTTTTAATTAAGTAAATGAACTGCGTGATCAGCTCTAAAAGCCTTATAAAATCCCACATGTACGTCTACAGCTAGGTTCATTTTTCAATTCACTAGTCAGGAAACCCAGAGGTTCTTGGTGTAGTGTAAGAATGAAAAAGTATTCCTGGAACCCACTGTGCATTATTTTGAAACTCAAATTCACGTTCATGTTAAACCATGGTCTCCCCTCCCCACTTACAGTTACTGTTAAAAAGCAGTCCCTTACAGTAACACATAATTGACGTTAGGCATTGTATTTTAAATTTAGTTTTGAGAAATTATTTAAAAATGTTGTCAGGTAAGGTGGTATGCTGCATGTAGAGAGTATTTTAGTGATGTAAAGTAATACATCATCCTGTAAAAGACCATTTTTACAAATTTAACCTTGTAGCTGTAATGGACTACTGTTTAAAAGTAGTTTTCCCCAGAAACAAAATTATTTCCCTGCAACAAAATTATTCATATCAAATGTTAAGACTGTTACATAATGCTTTTGTGTTATTTGCAATTATACAGATATCACATAAACTACAATTGCGCTAGTTTATTTAGAATTTGTGGCAATATGATTATCATCAGGAAAACTGCCAAAATGATTTTCTCGCCTTCATCTCTCTGTTATAGGGAACTTGTGTTGATTATCTTGGTGCCATATTGCCTGGTGTTAATGACTGTCACACAGTGGAGAAGGATGGTTATTTTTGACTCGGCATGCCATATGATGTCTCAGTTTTGGTTTTTTAAGGATCGTGCCATTTCAGATCTGAGAAAATGAAAGAATTTGCAGTTGGCATGCCTCTAGTGTCCATTAAAATGAATTTAAATATACAGTATTGATAACTATGTGGTTTGACATGTTTTTTTTTTCCAGTGGTAAAAAAGCCAAATTTCTTCAGAATAGAATTAAATGTTTTATAAAAATAAATCATTCGTTTCATGTGTATTACATCTGAAGGTGCTATAAATATCGAAGGGAGCTCACACCCACACCTGGAGTGCAGACACAATGAGGTTATGAGCTACCAGTCCCACTGCACTGCAGATCAGGTGGAGAGGAGAAGAAGTGCATCACCAGTTGAATTGGGGACTTGATAAGGCCAAATTGTATAAACCAAGAGTGTAATTTAGCCATTACTCCGGGGATGAAGTCTCTAGTCTTACAAACTTACAGCAGTTATGAGAGCCAGTCTCTAAACTGGAAATCCAGGTTCCATTTACTAGTCCACCAACAACTTGGTTTTCTTTAGCAATCTCTCATCCACGTGCTGACCAGGCCCACCATTGCTTGGCTTCAGGTTTGAATAATAAAGTTTAGCTAAAGGTTGTGCCAAATTCACTATTTCTCGTTAAAGCCATTTGCAGAGTTTATTAATGAGTTAACACCCATTCCACTTGAATTGGAAGTGACCGACAGGTACTGTACCTACATGATGGTCCATACAGTATATGAGCAGTGGTTCACAGGAAGCTGTACCAGTGTGCAAGCATATAAAAGCCACAGAACATGCTGCTGTAAAAACATTTGAAAAAACTGTGAATCCATGACTGTGTGTTTAATCCATTTTCATCTGACATCATCCTGACCAGAGGGCCCAGTTAAAGTTCATTAGATTAATTCTGTTTGGGGAAAAAGTGATTAAAATAGTAAAGGGGTCATAGACAGTGTCGTCACTGTCTTTCACGTGATTAAAGCAGGCTGTCACAGTGCAGGTTGATGAGAATCTTCAGTCCAGTAATCTCTGAAGGCTGTCTGCAGAGACTGTCCATTGCAGTCGCCTCACGGAATAGGATAAAAAGGTCAACCTGTTTGTCCTACTTCTGTGTCATTTACTGTTGAAAATATGTAGTTCCATTTCTGTTTTGTGCAGGTGCTGTTCCTTATCAGGCAGTCATAGCAGCAAAAGAATGACCTCCTCACTAAAGTTTACTGCCAGTCATTGTCCTTGTATGCTTATACGTTCTTCTGAGAGCTTGCAACTTGAGTACTTCAATGGGATGTACAGTATATTTTGAATGTGATGCCTTGCTTAGTTATGTGTTTTCAGTCAAAACATTTTTAATGTTTTAAATATGTGTTCAATATTTTGCATTTGGCAGTTTTTCCTTTGAACCAGTTCTTCTTTTTGCAAATTAACATAGTGACTTTTCTTGTGCTAATCCCCACAGCAGTGTTTTTTTTTTTAAATGTAGCTGATTACCTTAAGATATGCAATCTACATGGCATCTTTAATTCAGTGTTTCATCTCATGTAATACTAAAACTTTGAACTACAGTTCCCATGGGCAGTACTGAAATTCAGGGCCTAATGGTATTTTTCCAGTTTTGCTTAAGGCAATAAAGGATGTTATTCATAGACTCCTAACTAGGATATTTCAGCTCTCTATAAGGATAGGATCTGTACTGTACCTACAAATTAAAAAACTACAAATGTGACTCCAGTTTACAATAAGGGGGAACAAATCTAAGCCAGGAAACTATGCACCAGTGGGTCTTACATCACTTTTGTTACTGAAAACAATAGAACTGGACAAGAAGGATACATTGCACAAGAATATAATTTTAAGAAAGATCAGAGTAGATTTATTGAAGGTTGTCAATTCTAAAAATGACTAGAAAAGTCACATTCTACTCTGTTTGATGGCACGTGGGAAACAAAAGGATTGGTTTCTTGCATTTATACATTTTAATTAAAGGATTTATATAATTATATAATTATAGACCACAGAGAGTCAGGACTTTTTAGTAAGAATATAGATTGCAAAATTTTACATCTCATCTAAAAGACGGCACCTATTTTACAGTATAGTGTCCCCTGCTGGCCCCACTAAGACCTCATCTAGAGGCATCCCTAGTTTTTCCCAGGAGGTCTCCCATCCAGGTACTGACCGGGCTCACAACTGCTGAGCTCCAGTGGGTTCGGTTAGGATAGAGTACAGGAAATGATTCATTACACAGTTGTAGGTATCTAGAACAGTTTTTGCCATCTGGTGAATGAGGCTCAAACTCGGAGATCCTTGTAGAAATAGGTTGACAGACTTTTAGGTTCAGGTGGCTACTACAGTAAGTGGCCAGATGAGGAGCAAGAAGACCTCCTCTCTTTTGCTTCCTTTCTTATGTTGTTATGTTTTTTTGCCATTTATTTGTGGTTAATCAACAAAAGGCACAGGTCTATGGTCCCCTTAATCACACACTTTACTGGTATAGAATGTAAACAACAAAAAATCGTTATGGAGATAAAAGCTGAAATTTGCTTAGTCGTTAAACAATGAGTTTAATTTAGATAATTAACCTGCCAGGTAAGGTTGTGTGTATCAGCACTGCTATTTTTACTCACAAATCCTTCTGAAGCTACCAAATGCGTTGACTTTGCCACTAAGCCTTTAATAAAAAGCTGCTCACCTGCTAATTTACAATATTTTATTTTGGAATTATTCCAGAAGATATCTTATATAGAGTACAGTGCCTTTGTGACTAACAGCACATATGATCGATACCACAATGTGTTTTTTTTTTAGAAGATATTAATGAAAGAAGGCTTGATCCTTCTAGCCCTGGCTTAAAGTCTTTCTAGGAATCTGGACAGCTAGAGGAAGGATTTTTTGAAACTGTCTGTATGAAAGCCAAATTTTCCCTTAATCCTGAATCAAAGCTGCGATTTATTAATGCACTCTTGGAT